CTTAAACTCAATTGCAGTTACAACACCAAATGCACCATTAGCAAGTCCATCAGCAATACATATATTCTTTATCAGAAGAACTTCTGTACCAATACAAATTTGCAATTCATGAAGAAGTGTATCTGCTCGCTGTTTTGGTTCTTCATCAATTTTTTTCCATTCTTGCCCCTTCAATTTATTGTGGTCAATTGCTTTTATCTTATATATTTTGGCATTTGTCGATTTTGCATGTGAGAGTATTCTCTTCCGATTATATGCATCAACATTGACACGCTTTGAATATACCCTCATAACATCTTCTGGAATCGGTTTCTTCATTATTTGTCTTATAAATTCATCATCTTGAGCTGATATCCTTTCTCCTTTTTTAAGAACTCTAATCCTATTTAAAAATTCTGCATATTTCATATCACCCTTTTGTCTCATGATTTGCGTAAGCTCTATTTTCTTGAACTTTTCCCAAGGGTTATAATTTGTTTCATCAGACTTAAGTAAACTTTTCTGTTTGACTGGAGGCAATTGATAAAAATCCCCAAATGCTAATATTGAAGTATCGCCAAAGTCAGGATTATCACCAGGTTTAATTTGCTGAAGCCTTCCTCGTACTGTATTAAATAGTCTAACGCTTACCATAGATATTTCATCAATTATTAAATCTTTCAGAGATTCGAGTCTCATTTTCAATGGAGCTATCTTGGATTCTTCAAGTTCCTCATACACTCTAGATAGATATCGTGAAGTTATTCTGAATGCAGAATGTAACGTATTGCCATTAATTTGGAAGGCACTTGTACCTGTTGGACTAGTTAAAAGCACACTCAAATCATTTGGATGCTTTAAAAGGTTTCTCAATAAATGGGTAGCAATGTAATGAATACATTTTATTAGGTGTGATTTACCAGTTCCAGCTTTGCCACAAATATGAAGAAATAATGGTTTTATTTTCTTACCCCATGATAGTTCTAGGCATTGTTTTCGTATCAAGTAAAATATTTGTTTTTGTTTTGTGTTCATAGATCTTATCAATTCCATGGCTTCATTTGTCGGTATTGTGTCCGTTTGTAATTCAACTAGACAATTCACTTTTCCTGTTTCCTTGTCTTTGGTTTTAAAATCAATGTCAGGCATATCAGTTTCATCAATGTCATCAGATATTGGTTCAATATTTTCAGAAATACACTCTTGTCTTTCTAGTTCTTGCTCTGGAGCTAAATTAGCCCATGCATTCTCATATGAATCTCCATCAGATAATTTATCTTGTGCAGCATTTAATTCATCACCAGTAACATCATAAATACTTTTATATTTTGTTACAATTTCAGAAACATTAAACAATTTACCTCCTTGTTTTATTTTGCCACATTTAAAATAGCCTTCAAATGTTTCATGTTTAGTAGGTCGTAATTCCTTATCACTTCTGTGTGGTATGAACAGTTGGAGCATACTATGATAATATTCATCCGGATTAGTTTCCTTTGAGAACTTTGGGTAGCGTATAATAGCTGGTGGACTTTTTGATCGCTTTTGTATAAATCCTAAACCAAAGTCTAGTTTTATTTTTTTGGATGTTTCCTTCTGATTTTCTACTATATCTTCATCATTGTTATATGTCACAAGTCTATATTGTGATGCAAATTCTGCCAAGCATAAATCATTGAATTCAACACTGTGTGGTCTTGCAAAATATCTATCTATGATACTTGTTGCCCATATTTTATCATCTTTCTGTTGACGAATTACTGAAATTGGTAGTGACATTTTAATAGGATTGTTACCTACTGGAAGGAAAACAGTTTGTCTTGAGCATTCTTTGAGATGAAGATTACTTGCTCTGTATACGGCTTCTTGAGCACTAACTTCTCTATGTTTCATATATCGGTAACCAATGATTTTCATGAGTTTAGAAGCTGAGGAGTTTTGTTCTTTGGCTTCCTGTTCTGCATCTATAAGATTCTGACTCATTTCTCGTTCCTGTTTTGATATATATGATACAATGTAGACAACACATGAAAATACATCAAGGACAAATTGTATATCCATATTGGCTTCCCATGCTTTTAAAAGGTCTGTATTGTAGTTATTTATCCAAATGTCTTTAACAGTTCTCTTCAAAAATATTGCTTTCCTTTTACTTTTTGTCAGAGTTCTTATAATATTTTCATATTTTTCCATTGTTAAGCCTGGGTGTGCTTTTTCAAATATTTCATTTAATGTCATTTGAGAATAATCTTCAGAGAGAAAGAATTCCCAGAGAGATTGAATGATATCTTCGGCTTCTTTTATTGGTATACACTCTGTAGTCTCATCAAGACTTTTGTCATCAATGATAAAGGTTTTCTCAGATGGAAGTCTTGGAAAGTGAAATCTACAAGTTCTTTTATTTTTCTTGCAACTTTTTGAGTGGTTTTTGCTGTGTGTTTGGACTTCGTTTACTATTCTGAACAAGTCTGAGTCAGTTTTTTCATCGGGCAATGCACAAGTGATATACTTATCTATGAATTCTTCAACTTCTAAATTTGGTGATTTACCATAAACGGGAGCATCTTCGATCCAAATTAAACAATGTATATGAGGTGACCCTCTCATTTGAAATTCAACTCTGTAAAACATGTCTTTCACTTTACCAATTGGTTCAGCTGGTGATTTAATAACATCATTCATGAACTTTTTCCATCTATTATCAAACATTCTAGTTACAGTGACTGGATTATCCCTTATCAGTTCACAACGTTCTGTTTTGGTTATTTCTTCTGGTAATCGAGGGTCATTGTTTTGTTTGAGAATTGTGTTAATAACTTCATTCCATTTCATATCTGCTGAAGAAAATGAGCAAAACCATGTTGGTGGACCAAGTTGCCTAATCATTGCAAATAAATCTTTTTGTACGTGTTGCCAGTATGGTGGTGTTCCACGAATCGGTTGCAAATAGTGATGACCAACATTCTTACGGCAAAGCATTTCACTCTTTTCTTTGTTGATAATATCATCAGCTGTTATTGTATTACCGATTGTTGATTTTTCTGTTGTTTTTCTAAGGTTAATACTAACTTTGGATATTATATTCTGGAGTTCAGTCAAAAATTGGGCATAAAATATATATTGAGTATTCTTAGCAAATCTCAAGTCTGCAGAGAATAGCCTATTACCAAAATATTTTGTTGCTGACAACTTTTTTTCTCTATTTTCATCATGAGCGTTTCTACCATTTGGAAATAGAGTGGGAAATGAAAGAGCTTCATTATTCTTTTCTTGAAGAATACGTATTGGTTTGTTTCCTTCTCCTGGTGCTATGCAATATATTTTGTCAAGATGTGTATCCAGAATATGCTGAGCAATGTTATCAGGTTGCAAACAAGTATCAGATACTACACCCATCATATCATTTGATGTGTCTTTCCCCTGATTCTCTGTGCTATTTTCTAGTTGACATACATTACAGTCAATATCAGTTTGTTTCAATTCAGGTGTCATTCCATATTGCTTTTGATCTTCTTCACTTAAAATTTCTGGAGGTATTAAATTCACAAAATCATCCAATATATTAATGTCTTTGTAGTGCACATTGTTTTGTTTTAGGTATCCCAATGCTGCTTTAACTTTTGAAATACTGACTGATTTATATAAGTAATGACCTTTATATTCAAGTTTGCGTTTGAGTTTGACAGTCAAAAGCTGCTCATCATGAATTGGTCTTGGTAAAGCATTTATGGTTTCCTGAGCATTATTTGACACAGATATAACAGGACCATTCATACCAAATTGCCCTCCTCTTGGTAATTGTACTACTTTCATAAAAGGTAAACGTAACGATACTAAATGTTGTTCAAGGACATTCAAATCTTTCAATTCCGCTGGTATTGTTTGTAATAACAAATTATTGCTATTAGCCATTGGGGGAATATTGCCATTTTTAAAATGTACATGACAGTTCTGACATATCCATAGTTTACTTATTGGAGACTTACAAAGTTCACAGTTTTCTTTGTATGATATTTCTCTAGTATGCAAATATATTTTTGAAACACACTTTTGTTTATTTTCTTGAGACATTTTAGTATATACATTTTCCCTGTAGGCTAGCACCTGGTGTTTAAATAGCAATCTATGACAAACCACACAAATATAGTTTAGTCCATCATTTATTGTTTGTTTAAAGTCGTGAATTACTCTTTCAATATTTTCTCGTTGGGACTTTTTGGTAATATGTTTTTCTTTACCTTGCATTATTTTCCTTTTTTTGAAGGCTTTGTCAATGTCATATCTTTGTTTGCTCTGTTGTTTACTCTGTTGCTTCACTCTTTCTTTAAAGTCTTGATCAAATTCGTACTTTTCTTTACTTTGTTGCTTCACTCTTTCTTTAAAGTCTTGATCAAATTTGTATTTTTCTTTACTTTGTTGCTTCACTGTTTCTTTAAATTCTTCATCAAATTCGTACTTTTCTTTACTCTGTTGTTTCACTCTTTCTTTAAATTCTCCATCAAATTCGTACTTTTCCTTACTCTGTTGTTTCACTCTTTCTTTAAATTCTCCATCAAATTCGTACTTTTCCTTACTCTGTTATTTCACTCTTTCTTTAAATTCTCCATCAAATTCGTACTTTTCCTTACTCTGTTGTTTCACTCTTTCTTTAAATTCTTCATCAAAGTCGTACTTTTCTTTACTCTGTTGTTTCACTCTTTCTTTAAATTCTATATCACATTCATACTTTCTTTTACTTTTGTTAAGCTTGCTATGTTTGAAGTCTTCATCAGTTCCATATCTATGCTTACTTAAAAATTTCTTTTTATCTTTGAACCCAGGTGTAGATGCATATTTCTCTCTATCATGTTCCAATTTTTTATTTTTAAAGGTTTCATCAGTATTATACTTTTTTTTCAGAAGAATATTACGCTTGTATAGCTTTTGATCTGACTTAGACATTTTCCTCAATTTAGCCTTTTCTTTATCTGAGAAAATATCAGTGTTGGAATCATCAGCGCACAGGCTACTATTACATATGTTTTCTTGATTATTTACAGTATTTTTGGTACAATGCATTCTAGCTTTATCACATTTTCCAGCAACTAGCTGTCCACGTTTGCATGTTAATTTACATAGACGAACATATGATTCTTTGATCTGTAGACTCATTGGATCAACAACATTTTGTTCATGATCAGACAGTGGTTCTATACTTTGAGATTCCTTTTTTTGATGTGCATCAATATTTTCATTAAAATTTAATTTTTTTTTACAAGATGTTCTTCTAGCTGACTTTGAGGACATGGATGGTTGACTAGCAGTAAGGTTTTTTACTTCATTTTTTGCTTGGTCATTCCTACACTTTATTTTGCTAGATATTGTTGATAGTTTAGGCTCGAAGTTTTGATCTTTTATTTGCTTAGATTTCCTACATTCTTCAAATGTTATACCATCAACAGAAAATCCATGCTTGGCATTAGTTCTGTTTATTATACTATCAGTTAATGACTCTGCAGTGTTCCACAAGAATAATGATATTTTTTCCAATGAATTCGACATGTGAACTATTGCATTTCCCAAAACATTAATTCTTCCTTGCTCATCCCTACTGTGTGGGTCAAATGAATAATATATGCTTTTGTTCTTCATCACACATGTTGTTGTATTGAGGAATGTAACAAGGCATGCATTGTAATCTGTGAGAACTTTTTCAATAGCTTCATGCAGAGTTAATCCTTGGTCATCTTCTTCAGTATAATTCCAGTATTCTAAGTATCCCTGTTGTTGTCTTGATTTGTATGTATAATTTTTGTTGTTAAAGCTTAAGATTTTTGGAATATCAAATATTTCCAAATAACCTGTTGGAGTTGGATTTTGAGATATGATACTATTGTATAATATGTTGCCTCGGACTAAAACATCAGTAATGAATTCTGCATTAATTTCATGGTGAGTTTCATTTTGAAGCATCAGTAAAAATGACAAAGAGTTAGCATAACATTGTTTTCCTTGACCTATGCCTTCAAACATTAGATGATTTTGAGACATATTTCCTTCTATAACTTGATCAAATATCTGTATTGCTGATGCATTGTTCTTTGCAGGATTTGTATTTGTATTTGCATCTATCACATCTGTTACCACGTCATAATGACATTGGCTAGAATGATCTAGGTACATACATCTGTTAACAAATGTTTTTCCAAATACTGTCCATCTATTTGTGTTTTCAAAAGTAAGTATCTGGGTTTGGAATAAATGGCAAGCTGCGGCAATTTCAATATCAGTTCCCCACACAGATGATCTATTCATATTTTGGGATCTTATATGATTTTCCAATTCTGTTGCGGTTATTCCTCTTGTTTTACAAATGTATTTCTTACAGCTTTGGTCATTTCTATGAGACACTATACTCTGTCTAATAGCAGTGTGGTCATTTTCATCGTTTGTTATGCAATATGCAATTGCTCTAAAAAGACAGTTTCCATCACCTCTGATATGTTTTAAGGATTCATATTTTGGCTTCATAAAGGCAATTTCAACATTGTCATATACAGGATCATTGCTTTTTGGCGTATACTTGAGATGATGGATGTTGCATAAATGAACTTTCTCTTGGTTTTGCAAAGGGTTAAAATTCCCAATAGGCTCACTGTAGGTTTCTTTCAAAACAGTTACATCATCGGGACTTTCCTTTGATTTATCCTTAGAATTATCTTTTGGGTTGTAACCTCCAGTTTGGGAAACTTTGTATTTTGTTCCAGTTTGTAAATCTTTCGAAGACACATTTTCATTAAACAGTTTGTCACCATTGTCAGCTTCTAAGATTTCAGTCTTTTTCACTTCATATTTATGGTTCATGGAAAACAGTATTTCATTGTTTTTGCTATGACTATGAATCGTTACTGGTGGAACACGTAAACATCCTTCAGCAAAAATATCTTGCATTTGTTCTACAATTTCTACAAAGTATGGATTTTCACTGTCTGGCATATTTTTAGTTTCTGGTTTGTTTCTAGTTGTATCAATATCTGATTTGTAACTAAGATATTTGGATCTTTTCAATTCTTTCCTGTTTGAACAGTGTTCAATATTCAGCTTGAACAGTGTTTCAGTGTTATCAATGTTTAAGATTTTGAGATCATTATTTTCAATTGGTGGTACTCTTACAGTGTTGTCAGACAAAAACTGTTCTAGATCATGGTGTGGCAATACATGTTTCTTTGGTTGTGAAGCTCTGAAAGTACTATCTGGGACATGCTTTTGTTGTTTTGAAGTTGAGATGCTTTTCAATCGTCCAAGTTTACGCCTCGATAGTTTCTGTGTTTTTATAAGAATAGGCTGTAATGTTTCATTGTTTTTTAAATGTCGTTCCATTTTCTTTCTTCTTGCTTTCATTTTGATAACTTCAGATCTTTCTTGTCTCCTTATTTTGTTACTTAAGTACTTTTCTGATTTCAACAGAGATCTAAGAATATCATTGTTATCAGTAAGAAGTGCGTTCACATCATGAATAATTTTGAGAGATTTTGCAAGAGTATCAATGCAGTTTGCTATTAAAATATCTTTTGGTTGTGTGACAGTTCCAACCTCTGCTGACACATTGGCAAATTTGGTAAGTTTTCTGAGTTTCTTCTTCTCAGATTTCTTTATGGTATTCTGTATTAACAGTGTGGCAAACTCAGATATTAATGAATCTTCCATATCTTCTGCTAACACCTTGTGATGGTTTGTATTGTTCTCAGTAATATTAGAAGTTGTACGGGATATTGTATCAATGTTTTTATACATATATTCAGTTGAACATGAGAATGCGACTTCTGAAAGTATGGTCTTATTGAAGCACAATGGTACTGGCATTTCTTGCTTTCCATATGGTATTTTAGGTAAATTAGGCACTTCAGTTTGTATTTCAGTTTGTACTTCAGTTTGTATTTCAGGTACAGTAAGCATTTCAGTTTCTATTTCAGGTACAGTAAGCTCTACAGTTTCTATTCTAGGTACAGTAAGCACTCCAGTTTCTATTCTAGGTACAGTAAGCACTTCAGTTATTCTGGGTACAGTAAGCACTACTACAGGTTGGGAATGCATTTGGTCTCCCTCCAGCCGCGATGCAAATGCATCACCCCCACCGCGACCTTCGCAGGAATCATACCCACCAACCCTTCGCTTCTTCCTCCGATCAGGTGTGGCCTGTAAAAAATTAATACTTACTGTACTCTTAGTATTTTTTTGTATGCCATTATATTTTGCGCTTTTTAAGAGCATTATAAATTTGTAAAATAAAGAAGCCATGAAATTCTAATGATCTAAATTCACAAAAAATACATCCTCCAATCACAGGGCTTCAAAATCCAGAATATATTCTTTCTTTTTACCCCCTGCGATAAGCAGTTAGTATTTCCCCTATTAAGAACTCGTAATCTGATTGGTTGTTGCAACACTGCAACAGAAATCACTCAGAGTTTGCAGTATTTTACAGCTTGGCAATAAAGGTATTTTTGAAAGCATGAGCCTGGTCTGAGGCAAAATCAACAAATTTTTGTGAGGGCACTAGTATTGCCGATATTAATGTTCAATAAGATAAGATAAACAT